ATTGCCCAAGGCTGCACCAGTGTATGGAAAAGCTGGGCTTCTCACATAGGCTGTCTGGCTCCAGGGTGGGTTAACCACCACCGACCACTGGTTGGAGGAATAGGTTAGGGTGAAATTGCAGGGGATCTAATTTGCCTGAGCATCTGTTGTGAACAGGGGGTCAAAGGAAGGTTTTAGAGCAGAGGAGGGACATGATCAGATTGGCAATTAGATCGCAGACTGCTGAGATCTTGTGTGTGAAGATCTGGGAGAAGATAGACGGCTTTGTGGGGAAAGGGACCGGAAGCTGGGTTCTGAGAGGTGGGGCGACTAGGGTGGATCAGAGAGTTAGGCGTGACTATGGTTTGGAACAAGGTAGTGGGATTTGCCTGACCAACCTGGGGCAGGTGTCCTAGGCTTCGGACTGATGGGGAAGAGCATCACGGGGAGGGATTTGAAGGTCAAGCCAAGGACTTGGATTTTATTTAGTAGGAAGGAAAGAGACATCGACTGCTTTGAAGACACAGCCAAGGAATGGGTTAAGAGGTGCCTCTCTGCCCTGCATTGTCCCCAGTCTGACTCTAGTCGTAGGTCCCAACACACCTGGTGTTTCAAAGCCTGGGGGCATTTTCAAAGTCAGCCTGAAAGACTCACTGTCATTTCTTCAAAAGATCTCCTCTGCCCTCCAAGCAATCAAATAATTGAAGTCAGGTGGTTGTTTTCTTCTTTCTTTAAAAAAAAATTTTTTTTTACAAGAACCATTACAAAGGTGTGAAATATTAGACACTTACGCATCTGTGAATAAGATTGGAGGCTAAAACGTGTGAGTTCCCATCTCAACTAATGAACCAGAATACGGTTTTCATTTTTGAACTGCAAAAATGGTCTGCCTTTTTTTGGTCATCCCTCCAGAAGACTTCATATTTTAATAATTCAGTGCAGCCTAATTACTTTAATTAATCACATTCTTTTCAGAGATGTCAGTGGGCTTCGTTATTTTCTTGTTACTGTAGGTACTGTTGGAAGTTTTAAGGAGTTTTAAAAATACATATGTAATCATCCAGGTTAACTCTTTTGTGAAGTCTGAAATGGGTGTCATCCCCCTAAGGGTGCTCTGTCCTTCCCAGATGGGGGGTTAGGTCAACATCCCACTCTGCTGTCACACATCCTCCCTTATGCCTGGCTCACGAAACTATCTTTGGTCATTCTGTGCCTTAAAAACTTCTGTCTGGAGACAAAAGTAAAATGCTATTTAGAGCAAGTCCATGTTTTTGCATCTTTCTGAGTCATGATGAATATACTGAGAATGGCAATAGCTTTTATTGTACAATCAATATAATTTGCTTCCCTTGCAGGAAAACATAATTAGCTTACAGCTCACACAGTGGTGAGGAAAATGTGCTCATTTCTAAAGTTTGTGGGTGGAGGGTCCTTTCCTGCTTAGACTGAGGGTGTCCCCTCCTGGCTCCTGACCCAGGCAGACTGGGTGTCAGTAAGCTGATCTCTTAACTTTCAAGGCCTTGGTTAGTTCTTTGCACCAAAGAATGACACTGCTTTTATACCAATTTAATAATACGTAAGTTGGATATGCAGAAGCTCGAAGTTAGGGCCCGGCCATGAATGCAAGCTGTATTGCTTAAATGACTGAACTCTAATATGGTTTGTTTAACTGGCCCCGTATTTCTCTTTCGCGCTCTTTTTTCCAGAAAAGAGAGAGCTCAGATCTTACCATTTTTACCCATTTCCCCAATAAGTATAAAAGGGCCCCTAATTGATTCATGCATGGAGAAGTGGGAAGAGAAGTCACCATGGAAACTTCCTCCCTCTCTTCTGGGAACTTTTTGTCCCCCTGGGAGGCTGCCCGGCCCCCCACCCCTCACTGCAGGCTGGCTGCCTGTAACGTGGGTCCCGTGCTTTTAATACTCCTGGGCTCTAGTCCTGGAGCCTCCGCTGAGTTCAGGTGGGGCAGCTTTGTGAGCAGCCTGAGGTTTCATGAGGACGGAGAACCAAGCGAGGTTTCAGTGGAGCCCTTGGGTGAAGTAGTCTCACAGTTTCCTGGTAAAAGGCTGCAACGAGGGCTTCTCTTCAGGGCTTAAGGTTGAACGCTTTTATTTTGAAATGCTGACTGTCTGTAATCAGATTTACTCAGCCTCGACTTTGGCTTTGAACTGAAGCACACACGCTACCTGTCACCTGAAGGGTGCAATTAGGGTCTGCACTTGGAGCTGTGTTTCCTATCAACTGAGGGGTGGCTGTGGGCAGAGCCTGGATTTGTTTAGCTGAAAGAAAAAGAAAAATCCGTTTTGAAATCTCCCATTTCGCTTTTATCTCCTCCCATTTTCTGTTCATGCCCCACCCTCTTTCCTCCCAAATCTTGGGAATTCAGTGAAATCCACAAGAAATAAATCAATAGTCAGATCAATTCTTGCCATGGATCCAGTAAAGGCTTAGGGCTCAAAGCCCTCCTGGTCCTTGTGAGCCTCCTAAAATGTTATATTGCAATCAGAAATGTTAATTGGTTGAAATTGCCTGTGGTCTTAGGAAATGCTCTGATTACAAGGAGAAATCCTTTTATGTTCTTGGATTCCAGCCACAAAATCTCTGAAGTTAGGAATCTGGCAGAGGTAGAGCCCCCTCCGGGGTGTAAATAAACTGGCCAGGTCTATAACCCAATAAGAAGTCAGTTTATTGCATGTGTGTTTCAAGTCACCCAGCACACACCCTGCACATTTATTAAAGAAAAGGTGTGGGTAACAGCCAGGGCCCAGACAATGAAATATGGTACAGTTGGTGGATGATTGTCAAGTCTACACAGTTAATGGAGGGAAAGAAGGAGCCCCGCAGGGATCAAAGATGCTCTTTCTGCCCACGTTTGCAAGGAACTGCCTAGAATCTGAGCAGCTGAGCATGACTGGCACACAAAACTTTGCTAGCGGGGAGGCTGAGACTCAAAAGGCTTAAGTGAGTGGATGTTTTACACACCGGGTCTGGAAGCCGGGTGACATTCTCTGCTGCAATGTCTGTACACGGGGTTGTTATCAGAACTGGAGCTTTTGCTGGGCCAGATCTCCCCGTGACCCCCTGAGATGACAGTGCAGTGAGCTGAGAGGAGACTCTGAAGCCTTGGGCAGAGTCACATGATCAGCCCCTGGTTTACATACACAGAACTATTTTACTTACATTGCCAGAGGTTGTTTGGGATTCACCTAATGGTGATCAAGCCCAGAGGAAGCATCCAACCCCGCTGCACCCACACTGCCACCTCCCGCACTTCAACTCTAGCAGAATTGCAGTCCCTGAACAAACGGTGTGTCGCAGCAGGGAAGGGTGTGAAATGTGCCCAGGCTCGTTTGCGTACTGCTCCAGACTGCTGGTGACAGTGAGCTATTAGTGAAACCCAGGACAGTGTGAACAATGCAGCCTCTTAATTGCTCATTCTTCAGCACTAGTTCTCTCGGACAACACTACCCACTCACACCTTAAAAAACAGACTTAACCCCATAAATTTACAGTACCCCCACGTTACTTTAACACAGCAAATACAATAATAGTCCAGCCAGAGAGGTTTTTTTTCTTTTGGGTGGCTCCCCGCCCCTCTCCACCTCCATCCCCTTCATTCTCATTGGCTGCTGTGAAGTCCCAGAGAACCAATGGGATTCCTCTCCTTCATTCATGTCCTAGCAACAAGCCCTGTTCCAATCTTTCTCTGCCAAACTAACACCTGAAAAATTACATCATGAATAATGGTAAAAGCAGCAAGGGCCAGAGAAGGGCCTTTTTTTTTTTTCAACTGTCTGCTGCAGGGTTCATTTAAGGTGTTTTAGTCTAGATTCTTAAAGCGACAATGTCCTAAATTTTTTTGCCCGTTTTTTTCAGCACATCGGTGAACGTATAAAATATAAAATGAACAACGGAATGCAGCAAAAGACCTTCAGGTGAAGTGAAGAGAAAACATTTTGTCAACTGTGTTTTCTGAACATTCCTTTTAAGAGTCTTCTTTCAGGGAAGCCCCCCCAAATGGAGAAATAGATTGTTCATGCTGTATACTTTGGAGGGGGGAGCGCCTGAAGTATCCCAAGCCACAGGAGCTGCCCACCCACTCTCCCATACAAAAAGTCTTCCTGGTGGCTTCTCTTGCTCCACTTAACTACACCCAAAGCCCTTTCTATTCCTGCTTTGGAATAAAGGGCTCATTCTGTGAAGGGGGTTGGAACCAGGGAAGGAATTGCCTTATGAATCTGTGAGCTGCGTGGGGCTGTCGCGGGAAGGGGCCGCAGGGTGGGTGCGGTGAGCACGGGCGTGTCTGTGCACGTGCAGGCTGCCGAAGCAGCCGGGCAGCCGGGGAGATGCAGGAACAACGAGATCCAGATGACCAGGGATGGGGGAGGCGAGGCGGTAGGGATTGGGCGTGAGGGAGGGCGGGAGCCCGGGAGGGGAAGGCCGCTGTGCCTGCTTGTTCTCTCCAAGTGTGCAAGGGTTTCTAATGAAAATGTCCACCCTTCTGGGCATTTTTCAAGACCCAGACGCTGACTTGCCGCTTCCGGCTTCCCCCACCCCACCCAGTCTAGCGCAGACAGCGAGCCAGCCGCAGACACAAAGAGCTGCAGCCCTGCGCGCGCACCGCGGGGAGAGCGAGCGGCGCGGCGCTTCGCACCTGCCCACTTCCAAGTGCACCGGGGCGCAGCCAGCCCGGGCCCCCGTTCCCCTCAGTCCTGGGCCCCTCGGCCCATGCACGCCGGCAACCTGGGCTCCCCGTGAGCCTCTGTGGAGGGCCTGTGGCACGAGCCGCGCAGGGACCCAGGGCCCCCAGGCCGTCTCGGGTGCCTTGCTGGAGAAGCAGAAAATAGATACATTCAGTGTCTGGCTCCGGCGCGGAGTTTACAACTCGCCTCAGCCATTGCCTTGGCAGCAGAGTGGTTAGAGGTGTTGGCAGACAGGCTGCCTTGGGACTTGTGAAACCGCATGACTATATAAGGCCCGGGAAGGAAAGGGGAAGGAGGCCAGCCTGAGGGATGGGATGGCGCGCGCGAGGAGAAGTGCAGGGGACCCAGCCGGAGTTGTAACCCCCTCCCCCGCCCCGGGCAGCCCCCTGCAGGTTGCAGCGATAATAACTCCTCCTGTAGAAGTTCTGTGACCTAGGAAAACGGAATCCTGGAGGGTGGGGCTGGGAAGGGCGCTGCCCCCGGGGTCTGCAATAGATGCTCTTTCCCCGGAGGCTGCTTGGCAGCTGCCTCCTCCTCTTCTGGCCCCAAGAGTCAACTGGCTTCAGGGTGGGCCAGGAAGGAGACCCAGAAGTCCGAAGTCTCAAATACCTGGGTGTAAACCACGTTTACTGGAGCTGAGAATTTGAATCCCCTAGTCTGAGGGGCAGTTTGGAGAAATCATAACTAGACAGGTAGGTCAAGGAAAAGGCAGTGAGGGGAAGGGGCGCTGGAGTGGGAGCTGGGAGTCTCGTATTTGTTCTGGCTCCAGCAGGAGAACCAGAGCATCACTCGTCCCCAGCATGGCTGTTGTAGAGATCAAATCAAAGGATTCTGGCAAGGTGCTTAGAACAGTGTCTAGACTGTACTGTAAGTACCCAGTCAGGTGAGACATGATCAAACCCTCCCCCTGGCCTTCTGCATGGGTCTAGAATTTTGAGTCAGAAGGGATGCCATGCCCAACAGCATCCTCTTTGAAACGCTCCCTTCCCTCTCTTGCTCCTGGGGCGTAACCTCTGTCTGTTCTCCCCCCACCTCTTGGGCACTCCTTCTCATCCCTGTTTTTTGTGGAACCTGCTTCCTCTAGCGGCGCCTTGCGTATTGGTCCTCTTCCCTGCTCACTTCTGCTCGTCTGATCCCATCCTCACAAAGGTTTTGATGATTCGGTCTGTCCTGGTGGTTGCCATAGTACAGCTCAGCCCAGCTCTTCCAGATTTCCAAGGAATGCCAGGAATCAGGACTTTCCAGATCAGGGTCCTCCAGGTACTTTAGATCCGGTATGTCTCTCATCTCCATCTGCCCCTCAGTTTGCTTCTTCATCTTTGTATAGTTATCTCACTGAAGAAGGCTTCATCCATAGAGGTGTCAAGGCAGAAACCTGGCTGGTGTCCTGGACCCCTCTTACTCCCTCATCCCCCATATCCAGCCTTCACCAAGAGCTACCCATGGTACTTCCTATTTAGCAAATAGATCCCCGTGTCTGCCTCCCCACAGCTATCGCGCGAGTATAAGCATCCAGTCTTCTCACCTGGACTGTTGCATCAACGCTGGTGCACCACCGCAGCGGTCTCACCTTATCGCTCCTGGCCAGGACTCCCCGGGGGCTTTCATTGTTCTCAGGATATACTTGGACATGACTCCCTGCCTTTTGTGCTTCATCTTGTTTCACTCTCTCCCTTGCTTTTAGGGCTCCGCACACTGAGCTTCCTTTAGTCTCTTCAAAATGCTCCCTTCTCACTCAGGGGCGGGCTTCCTAATGCAAAGAGTAGCCGCTTGTCCTTAAGCTCCCAACTGGATGGGCGACTTGCGGAGGCATCTCCCGCCCCCTGTAGACTCAGCCAGGTTCCTTTTTATTTATCTCGAACCCAGTAGGCGCTTAAAGAATATTCGTGGGATGGACAAATAAAGACACTCTTGCAACTATGTGCCACCAGTACATTTGATAATCATGATTTCTTGCTACATAAGAGTGCTGAGGTGGGCAAGGCCAAGGACAGAGCCCAGTACTTCTAATCCAATTTATGTAATCTTTTTTGATGACTTAGAATCAACATGATTGAGGTAGAACTTACAGATAAATTACATACGTTAAAATGAACCCGCTTTAATTGTACGCTTTGAGTTTTGACAAGTGCATGTACCTGCGTAAGCACCACCATGGCCAAGATACAGACCATTTCTATTACTGTCATGCCTCCTTCCAGGCAGTCTACCCCTCCTGGACCTAGGCAACCATAAACCTGTTTGTGTCTGGCTCTTTTTACTCAGTGTAATGTATTTGAGATTCATTTATGTGGCACAATGTATCAGTGGTTTGGTAGTTTGTTCTTTGTATTGCTAAGGAATATTGTATCGCATGAATCTATCACAATTTCTTTATTCATTCATCTGTTGATGGACATTTGGGTTATCTCCAGTTTTCGGTATTGTGGTTAAATCAGTCTCAAACATTTTCGTACGAGTCTTTGTGTGAACGTATCTTTCACTTCTCTTGGGTAAACACCTCAGAGAGGAATTGTTAGGTCATAGGTAAGTGTGTGCTTAACTTGATTAAAAACTGTCAAACAGATTTCCAAAGAGTTGTCCTATTTTATCTTCCCATGAGCGATGTATGGGAGCTCTTCTGCATACTTAACCCTCACCTGTTTTTGCGCGCAGTGACATCTCACCGTGCCATGAATTTTCATTTTGACGATGACTAACAACGTTGAGCTTCTTTTCATGTGCTTACTGGCCATTCGTATATTATCATTTGTGAAATGTCTGTTTAAATCTTTTGTGTCCATTTTAAAATTGGGTTGTTTGTACACATCTCACTATTATCAAGTTGTGGAAATTCATATGTGTGTATATATACATACGTTTAGCTAGAGATTATCTATCATCTTTCCACCTCCCAGTCTGTGGCTTTCCTTTTTATTTTCTTTATAGTGTCTTTCAAAGAATAGAATAGAAATTTTAAATATTCATGGGTTTAATTTATTATTTTTTCCTTTTATAGTTAACACTTTATTTGTCCTCAGATTGATAAGATTTTTTCTCCATTGTTTCCTTCTAGAAGTTTTGTAGTTGTAAATTTTAGGTTCAGTTTGATGATCCATTTTGAGTTATTTTTTATGTGTGATGTGAAGTAAAAGTCAAGATTTATGGTTTCCCCTAGAAATTCCAGTTTTTCTAACATCATTTGTTGAAAAGACTTGTTTCCAGCATTGAATTATCCTGATAATTCAACTGTTTGAATTAACTGACCAAAATATTGAAAAATCAACTAACCAAATAATGTGTGGGTCTATTTCTAGACCCTCTGTTCTCTCCATTGACTCGTATGCCTGTCTTCACACCAATCCCACATTGTGTTGTTCAGTGTAGGTTTATAGTACGGGTAGTCTAAACCTCCAACTTTGTTCTTTATCTAAAATTACTCTCTATGTATTAAATATCCTTTGCATTTTCATATGAATTTTAGAATCAGCTTGTCAAATTCTACAAGAAATGTCGATGATTATATAATTTCCTCCTTTTTTTTTTTGTTCTTATGATGAATTTCAGTGGCTGAATTTAAAACATTAAACCAACGTGTGTGCTTGGTATAAACCCCATTTAGTCATGATGTACTGTTATTTTTATACGTTGCTGAATTTAACTTGCTAATACTTTGTGAAGATTTTTGTGACTATATTTTTGAAGGAGATTGGTTTGAAATTTTCTTGTAATTTCATTCTTGGGTTTTTGGTATCACAATGCTGCTGTCCTGTGAAATGAGTTGGCAAATGTTCCCTCTTTTTCTGTTTTCTGAAGACGTTTTTGTAAGATAGATATTCTTTCTTCCTTATAGTTTCGTTAGAACTCGCCCGTGAAATCATCTGAGGTTGGGGTTTATTCGGGAAAAGTTTTAATTTACAAATTCAATATATTTAAATCTATGTTATATTCACTATTTCAGTGCTCTTCATTTCTTTATGTAGTTCTGTGTTTCCATCTGGTGTCATTTTCCATCAGCCTGAATATCATTAACAATTTTTTGGAGGGCAGCTATGCTGGTGACAAATTCTTTAAGCGTTAAAAAAAAAGTCTTTATTTTACTTCTATTTTTGAGGAATATTCTCAGTAAATATAGAATCCTGGGTTGACTGTTTTTCTTTAAAGGTATCATTCAATTGCCTTCTGGCTTGCATTATTTCTGAGAGAAGTCTGCAGTCATAGTTACTTTGCTGCTTTAAATATGATGTATCTTTTTCCTCTGGATGCTTTCACAATGTTCACTTTACTTACTATTTACAGAAGTTTCACTATGATATTTCTAATTTTTTTTCCTTTCTACATGATCTTTGTTGGGTGCTTTGGATCTGTAGGCTTACAGTTTTTAGCAATTTGGGTAAATTTTTGACTTATTTAAATATTTTATGCTGCTCCTTCTGGGGCTCCAATGACACACATGTTCAACTAATTTATATTGTATGAAAATTGCTGGTGTTATGAGCTTTTATTTCCCAATCTGTTTTTCTTTCTACTGCTTGTCTAAAACCTCACTGGTCTTTCCTGCAGTGTTTAATCTACTGTTAAGTAAGTGTATTTAGTAAATTTTTCATTTCAGATGTAATATTTTTTCTGTTCTGCAACTTTCATTATGCTTCTTTTCCATATCTTTAATTTATGTCACTACGTTTATGTTTTCCTTTAAATCTTTAAACATATGTATATTAGCCGTTTTAGAGTCTTCATCTCCTACCTCCATTGTTTCTATCTGTTCTCTTATTGTTTTATTTATTTATTTTTTAAAATTTACTGGTGATGAGTTATGTATCTAGCAGTTTCTGCTGTTGGATGTCCGGTTGGTGTTGGAGACGTGTACTGTAAACTGTTCTGGGTCTAGGTTCCGTTGTCTCTGAGGAGTAGTGAATTTTCTTTAGGCAGGCCATAGATTACTTGTGGAAAAGCCTGGTCCTTTTGAGACTTGTTTCAATCATTTTAAAAGGCGGGTTTATTAACTTTAAAATAAATTTACCCATGGGATAGTTTTGCCATATTTCTAAGGCATGACTTTTCTCCGTCCCTTGACTGCCCCAAGTATCAACAAACTCTCGCCATGCTGACTAGTTGGAACTTGACTATCTCCTAGCCTCATGTGAGCTCTAGAAATGTTTGGTTTACATCTCCTTAGCATCTGCTCTTTGCCTGGCCTCACAGGGTTTCTCTTCTTTGAGCACGTGAAGCCTAGGACTTAATGAAAGACTCAAGGGGATCACTGTGCAAATTTCTGGGTCTTTGTAGATTCCCTCTCTGTGGTATTATATTCTGCAAACTCCAGCTGCCCAGCCGACTCAGACTCTGATCTCTGCCTCCTCGGTTCAGTAAGACTGCTGTGCTTTGCGTGGGCTGCTTCTCCTGGTACTGCGGCCTTGGAAATGCTTCCAGACAGAATGCTTGGCCTACTATACGGCTCATCTAGTTTGCATCTTTTGTCTCAGGGATCATAATCAAGCATTGCCTGTTTTCTAGTGTCTGAAAAATGATAATTGCATTGCTTTTGTCTGGTTTTCTAGTTACTTACTAGTTACTTACCACAGGAGGGCAAACCTGATACCATGGCCATTGATATATCTTTAAGCAGCTAACCTAACAGAATTCTCATTTTGTATATATTCTAGAAAAATTACCAAAGAGTATAAAACTTTACAAGAAATGAAGATACACT